ATCAAACTCCCCAAGCCGTCATTTTGACTGCTCCCATTCAAATCCATGGAATTACAAGAAATTCCCCCAAAAAAGTTACATTTTTCAGCAATTATTATTCTATTGTACATTTTACCACTGCAATAAGCATAGTTGTATGTTTACATCTGTCAACGTCCGCAGCATGAGGTCAAAGTGACATGTAGACGCTGAGTAATTACACTTCATAAACTAAAATCCGTCAAATGGACTGCTGTGGGAGTGAAGCCGGGGCTAGGAGCGTCACGGCCTCCTCGGACTGTGGACTCTTCACGTCTCTCTGCTCTCTTTGGATCTCAGCACATCTGTTTAGAGAGACGGGGTTAGGCAAATTATGAAGTTTCTCCAAAGTTCATGATTCCTGTGGATCTGAGACGGTTCTACTCAAATGCTAAATATTTCACACTTTTTTTTTTTTGTACGGATGAGAAGACGGGATTTGTTCAGCACCAAAGACTTTTTACACTTGAGTGATAAAAGGCCATGGACGGGTTTTGAGGCTTGAAATTAACCATAAATTATGATTTTTAATGATGCATTGGTTTTTTTTCATAGTGCTGTCATTAGTAACTCATTAAACACAGTGGTAATTTACTACTGTAGCCACAGCTGCCCTGGGGCACACTGGCCAGGGAGAGGCCAGAGAGGGAGAGAGGCCAGAGAGGGAGAGAGGCCAGAGAGGGAGAGAGGCCAGAGAGGGAGAGAGGCCAGAGAGGGAGAGAGGCCAGAGAGGGAGAGAGGCCAGAGAGGGAGAGAGGCCAGAGAGGGAGGCCATTGGCCTTTATCATCCTGGGACAGTAGTTCTCTGAATTTATGGTCCAGTGAAAGTAGCTCTCTGGGTGTGACGGGTTTGAGACACCTGGTGTAGCATTAGCTCTCTGCCACTCTGCGTCCTTGATGGTTGTCTGTTTCATGTTGTGTTTTTGTGCAGATGAAAAGATTGAAACAATGTCAAGTGGATCCAGAATTCCTAGTTTTATAGCTATGGTCGAACATCGCAGCGATATTCAAATTCTCAGAGTTGATCTCGACTCGGCTCACGACTGCGTACATCTGCTTACTCTCTCGCCGTCTCGCACACACGCCACCGTAGCCTCTGTACATATCACACAGGCATTCCAATGACGTCGGAATCTGCTGGTCGCCATGGTTACCGCTGTGATGGATGGATCGGCGGGTTGCTGCCCCCGGTCTCTGCTCCTCTGGGGGTGGTCTTTCAATCTGCTGAGGCCACTTATTTCAGATGGACTGGTTTGCCTCGGGGTCCTCACAGTGGGCAGGAGCCAGAAATTCTATACATGTATCTGCGTTTTGTAAAGACAGATTTAAACATTAATTAGGGTGAAATGTGTGAGATACTGTGGCACAGACTGGTTGCCTCGCTTCTGTCAGTGTGCCCCAGGGCAGCTGTGGCTATAATAGTTGTAGTTTATCACCACAGTGTTTGGAGAGCAATAATAATGAGAAGAGACTTTGGTTTTATACAGCGCTTTTTTGGACACTCATTTATTATTATTATTATTGAGATGCTAGTGTGAAATATTGCTTGAAATGTATGTTTTTAAACTAGAATCAAGTCGTTTGGGGCTAGATTTATTTTATTTTCAGAACTCTTAAATCAATGTTCCCTACATGTAGCAGGCAGAAGCTAACGTCCTCTTCATACATGATTCCCAGTCGGGCTACACGATAATGGAAATTATAGTGATATTTGAGTGTTTAGTATTTCGATAACTATATTATTGCGATATTTTTGTCATTCACCTAAAATTGCATCTGCATTGAAACGCAAGAGACTAATAACAAAAATAAGCACAACATTAATGACATTCAAATTCATATATTTATAATTATTTGCATATAATTATTTACTTAAAGGCACACCGTGTAACTCTTGGCCACTAGGGGCGCTAGACCTGCAACTTTCACGTTTAGCGCCCCTAGTGGCCACAAGCAACTCAGCACTGTCGCAAAAGTCAACAAACAGTCAGCCGGTGTCTTTTGAGTGTGTATTCAGACAGCATGCACTGGTGTGTGTGTTCAAACTGTAGAGACATGCCTACAGATATTGAGAGACTCTGCTGTGGTCAGCCTCCAGACCGCTGCATTAGTAATCTACCACACATGGACTTCTATATCCTGGATGAGGGAGTTCTGCGTCTAGCTCGTGCTGCGTGGAATGACATCTTTGCAGTCGATGACATCCAGGAACCAGGTGAAGAGCAGCGCTCATACAGACATGCAGCTTACAGCACGATCCCTTTCGCGTTTCCTCTTTTTAGCCTCCTCCAAAGGTTTAAAATTTTTCCTTGCCTCAGCCATGACCAGGAGTCGAGCAGGTGAAAAATGAGTAGCAAAAGCCTTAGCTCCATGAGTATATCAGCGCCTGTAGCCGTAAAGCAAGTCTTTCTTCCAAGTCACGTGACCTGGTGGCAGACGGTCCGTCTGCTCGAAACTTACATGGGCGGTATTTCAAGAGGGCAGCCCCGCTCGGAGCATTGCAAGTGTCAAGCGCTGTATATTGGCCCAAGTATTCATATAAAATAACTCATATGTGTCAACTCTTTAGGTCACAAAGTCCGCGGTGTGCCTTTAAAATTAAAGGTTATTGTGCATTTTTTCAATATGGATATTGCACGTCAGTAGCTCAGTTGGTAGAGCACTGATGTCTGCTGTCGTTGTGTGCAAGACACTTAACCCCACTTTGCCTGAAGCCCCCGATGAAAGACCAAGGCCTTCTCGTCAATGACAGAGAAGCCATCTTCCTGTGGACCCACCACCTGCAAAGGATCAGAGGGACTGGTGCTGTGAGACTTGGGCAGCTCTGATTGTCACCCCTCGACCCAGAAAGGGATTAATAAAGGGGTAGAAAATGACATGACACGTGATATTGCACGTACCAATATCACGATAACGTTGATTTATAGCATAGTTTTAGATCTAGATTTTTCGATATATCGTGCAGCCCTAATTCCCAAACACGTCTGCTTTATGCACCAATAACGTCTCCCCCTGACCTCTTTTTCCTCCTTGGTCGTTTGTTGTATCCTGTAAACCTCGTTATCCTATCTCCTGTTGAAAAGGTCATTCTCCAAACCGCAGCGGAGGAATTTCCTGGAAAGTCCACTCGGCTCTTTTTAGTTTTCTGCCGCGAGCACAAGCCTGTTTTATGTATACAGCCGAGCACCATTAGCCACTTCATTAGCATTGATTTGCATGCTTCAGCGTTTGGTCCCGTCTGAATGTATTGGATTGTTGGACCGTTTGGACCCAAGTCTTTTGGACGATTGTTGAGATCGTGAAGGGAGAAAAAAACACTTGAAAATAGCACTTTGTTCACATCTTTAATTGCAGCCCTCTGTGTCATGTTATGTGGCCCGAAGTTACAGTGACTCAGTTGTAGAACATTGGCCTTTGAGCCAGAAGGTTGTGGGTTCGAGCCCACCAGAACCTTTCTCCGACTCCCACTGTCTGCTGTCGTTAACCTCTGGGAAAAGCAGGTACCACAGTGCGGCGGCTGTAAAGTGCCAAACTGTGGTTGTGTCCTTAGGCAAGACACTTTCCCCACATTAGAATGAGTCTGGTGTGTGTGTGAATGGTTGGTGGTGGTGGGAGGGGCCGATGGCACAGACTGGTTGGCTCACTTCTGTCAGTGTGCCCCAGGGCAGCTGTGGCTACAGTAGTTTATCACCACCGTGTTTGGAGTGAATGAATAATGACTTTGAGAGACACCAGAAGCGTCCAGAGAAAGCGCTGTATAAATGCATTATTATTATTATTAACTTGCACCCATTAATCTTGTTTTTAATATTTGTTCTCTTTTTAAACCCTCTGATTCTGCTTCAGCAACAGAATCCAATCTGTTTCAATTATTATTTTTCTCCGTGAATAATAGATTTGGCTGCACCATGTAGGCATTTTGGCACTGATGAAGAGATGAGAAGCTGCTCACAAAACATGGAATTTTTTTTAGATCTGTTTTTCATCCCTTGTGCAGTCCTCGGACCACAAGGATTAATAAAACCTGCACTAAATAAAACATTTTTGAGCTGAATTTTGATATTTTCTACCATGACCGGCTCAGTCATTTATACCCTTTTAAAACCCTAATTTAGGTATTTATCTCACATTATGATAGTTGTGAGGGATTTACTTAGTGTCTAAAACCAAAGGACAGATGTAGAAGTATTAGCTGTGAATAAAATAGTTTGTTCTTTTGTTTGTGGCTTTGCTCGAGGCCGGTGTGAAATGTTAATATAGTGTCTTTACTGCTCCGTGTTCTTTACGTGACGATGATATTGCACCACATTTCTCCTTCTGTCGCTCAGACCAGCTTCAACTCTGACACCAAAAACACAAAAATGTGGTTTTAGCAGCAAAGGTCGAGGAACTGTAAATACACTAACAATTCAATGACTTTTATTTTTGTTTAGTCTTAAATCACGTCTCTGAGAACTTATCAGAGTTGTGGACTGAGGCTGTATAGACCCAGGACTGAGGCTGTATAGACCCAGGACCGAGGCTGTATAGACCCAGGACCGAGGCTGTATAGACCCAGGACCGAGGCTGTATAGACCCAGGACCGAGGCTGTATAGACCCAGGACCGAGGCTGTATAGACCCAGGACCGAGGCTGTATAGACCCAGGACCGAGGCTGTATAGACCCAGGACCGAGGCTGTATAGACCCAGGACCGAGGCTGTATAGACCCAGGACCGAGGCTGTATAGACCCAGGACCGAGGCTGTATAGACCCAGGACCGAGGCTGTATAGACCCAGGACTGAGGAGTCACTTTCTCAGATTCAGATTCATTTATTTGCCATTTGCAGTAAAACCACATTGGAAAAACTGTGCAAGACTACCCCGGTGTGCACCAACGACACACACCAGAGCTCTTGCTTTCTCATAATTTTCTGATAATGTAAATTAGATGCAGCCCAAATCCAAGACCTTAACCCGTGTTTTCTTCTTCTCTCTCACAGCGGAGCCCCTCCCACTCATGGACCTGTGCAGACGAGTGGCCCGTGTGGCTTTGGGACGCGACCGCATCCACCAAATCGAGACGCTCCCTCTGCCCCAGACGCTGAAAAACTACCTCCAATACCAGTGAAGGCGCCCCCGCCCCCCTCCGCCCCCCACACACCCAACCCCACCCACACGCACACACACACACACACACACACACACTTCAGGACTCGAGTGGGGGAGGGGGGAGCTCTCTGACACCAGCTGGGACTGTAACAAGACACAGGAAGTGACATCTGAGGTCAAAGTGCGCATGACAGGTTATCCCCTGGTTCCAATGCAGTCATGGTCATTCTTATACTCAGTGCTACGACATGAGGAATAGAATCACAATTTTGCACATTTGTATTAGTTCAAATTGTACTTTTTTTGGTTGTGAAATGATGACATCACACTGAGGATTTCTCATAGTTCACTTGGCAAAAAGTATTGATAATGGAAATTGGATGCAGCCAAAATTCAAGGCCTTTAAAAACTCGAGATTCGACAAAAACTGCATTTATTTTCCTTTAGTTTCATTTCTAAGATCCAATTGATATTAAACATGTGCAATATTCTATCATTTACTTCAGCTATTGATGAATATTGCTATAATTTTTTTTTATATATATAAATATTAAAAAATCAAATAGAAAAAGATGAGATAGTCGTAATAGTCAGTTACAAAAGACTCTCTGTAAAAAATGAACTTATAGAAGACTTTTGCCTGTTTACAAAAAAGAGGCTTTGTCCGGTCCTGGAAAACCTGGAAAAGTCCTGGAATATGGAAGTCCACGTTTCAGGTCCTGGAACATGTTTGGACTATTATTGCCTGCGGACATTTAGAATATTATTACATTAAAAAAAATCTAATATAAAATTATGAAGTAGTGTTTTTCGTTAATGCAGAAACATCAACAAATCCCAGATGATGATTTTTTCATTTCTCTGCACGTTGTTGCCAGATACAAATAAGAAAATATCTGTTTTTTTAGTGATTTATATTGTTTAAAAAAAAGCTGTTTGTTCGACTCAAAATGTTGCCGCCATTTTTATGCAAGTCTCCCACGTGTGATGTCATCCTACACTGCAAAAAGTGAGGAAAATAAGTAAAAAAATTGCTCAAATCCGAAAAAATGTATCTTAATTTAGGCACATTCTGAATGACAAAGTAAAATATTGTTTTGTAAAGATATAGAAAGGTATATAAAGTCAGTTTTTAAATCGGACTAAATTACTTTGTCCCGTTGGAGAACCTAGTTTTAACGCAGTCAGAATGAGCTCAAATTAGGACAAAAAAAAACACTAATTTCCCACGTTTATGACCTCATATTGAATAATTTTTTTGCAGTGTGGACCTATTGAAATGTTTTTATCCTCCACATAACGTCACAAAAACCTGTCATCTGCACTTTAAAATGTTTACCAGAATTTTAGATTTATTTTTGAGTTTTTTCCTCTATTTTTTGTCATTTTGTTTCCATTCTTTTTGCCTTTTTCTTCTTCTTGCGAGAAGTGGACCTGGAGATTATGACCCAGCTTTGGAAATGCAGTTTAATCGAAGCCTTAGAACTTTTCGCACAAAGACGTTATTGGAGGATTAAAAAGTGGAACGCCTTGGTCTACTTTTGTCACAGATTTACTACATTTAAAACCATCACGGAGCGAAACAAGCGTTATTACACACTTTATGTTCAAAAAAGTGACAAGTTGGGACACTGGAATGTTTATGTTCATGTTTTTACCTCTACATTCATCAAAAATATAGATTTGGGTGTTTTTCTGCACAATAATAAGAATAGGTCAATATTTATGAACAGAACTAAGTATTTTATGGAATTAATGGACATTTTTAATCATCTCTGGTCCTGTTTAGAGCCATTTTATCTTTAAAAGTTTGCAAAATCTTTTAACCATACTCCAACTTTGTGCCCTAATCGTGACTGGAGTGGATTTTAGATCAATCCATGCTGATAACAGGAACTTGATTTGGGCGTTTAACAAATCTTCTTCATCCATAACTTCATCAAAGACACAGTGTTGATGTGAAATTTTGGAAAACAAAACTAAAAACATTTATTTTGTTGCGTCCAATGGATTTTTTTTGCATAATAATAGAAATAAGTGACTTTGTATATGCACTAAGTTTAATAAATAATGGGATCTTTGGTCCTGTTTAGTGGAATTGCTGTTATTGGGGTTTGCAATGAATTGGAAGTGAAATGAGGCCTACTTGTGCCCCCTAGTGGTCATAATGAAAATGGTTCGTTGCTGTTTTTAATGTTATTTAAATGTAAACTCATCAGTCTTAATCTGTGTGTTACATGTTGTGTTTTTTTATTACAAAAGAAATGGAGGTTTTTGATTCAAAAGTAGACTGTGAATCCTGGCCACATTTCAGGACGTTTTCTGTTATTTTAGTTTAGAAATTTAGGTTTGGAAATCTTCAAATTGCTTTTTTAAATCACTGTAGTTGTTTTAATAAACTTGGAAAGAGGCTAAAAAAGTATATTGAGGAAGTAACTCATCAGCACCCTATCCCAATATGTGTTTTGGTCGCATTAAAAAACGTAAAATGGTCCAAAAAAAGGTAAAAAGTATTATCTATCTGTATGTACTATGTAGACTATAAATAACACTGCTAATACTACAATACTTAAATTTAAAATACACAATGACTGCTTTAGCAAAACCAACCAATATACAAATAATACAATCTTGGCTCCATTTTGTTTCTTTGTCTCTATTTCCAATTCCATAAAATCCAACTTTGAAAATTCCAAAATCTGCTCAAAAACACCGTGAACTATGCAACTTTAGGGCTGTTTTTTTTACCCTTTCATTTCTGTGATTGTCAAAAGCATTCCCAGTGTCCCAACTTATTTAAAATGTGTTTTTTTTAGTTCTTTTTTGTCTATAATTGTGAAGCACAGACACATGGTTTTTAATGCTGCTTTTCCTCTTTGTTCCACCATTTTGAGATTTAATCATTTACTTTTGGAAAATGGTCTTATGATATTTTGTCTTTTTTTTCTTTTATGTTCTTTGAGGTTTGTGTGGGACAAATGTCTCCCAGGAGCGAGAATGTCTGGCCACGAGGAGAATCTTTTAATGTGAAGAATAAACTTGGCTAAACTTGTGTTGTTTGTGTTTGATTTTAATGTGTTGCTTTTCCTGGAGTTAGCTTCTACGTTAGCTTCTATGCTAGCGTCTGTTAGCTTCTGCGTTAGCTTCTACGTTAGCGCCTGCGTTATGGTGCTTTCAGACCGGATCATGCGTTGCGTCGGTTTTCAATGCAAAGTCTATGGTGACCCGCGTTATGGGGCTTTCAGACCGCCAACGCTGAAACGCGGAAGCCCCGCTCACCAGACGAGTAGGCACAACGCACAGACCTCTCGGCACACACGCATGCACCGCTCAGTAGAGACGCACGGACTTAAGTTGGTGGGAACGTCAAAGGGGAGGAGCAGGAGTGGAAAATCAACGCCCACAGGAGATAAACTTTGGTTGCTGCACAAACGTCCTGATAAAAGGTTGAGCAATCAGAGAGCAGCAAAGTGGTCACGGGGACATTAGCGGACTGAGCGAGCAGACTGAAAATACTCGTAAACAGCCAAAACAGGACCCACACCAGGCTTCACCAGAACTCAAACCAGGGTTGACAATGGGGGACTCTGTGCTTGTGAAAATATGCGTTGTCATGCTCCCGTGACCTTATGCAACTGCTTCGAGTGTGTTCGCCGATGCGGAAATACCGTTGAATAATATGAAAAAAACATATGGTGCACCTCCGTGAACACATACTACTGTTATATAAAGCCCGTGGAAGGTCTCTGTTCAAAGACACGCTGCAAAGCTGCATATTTGAGAAGATCTGTACACAAGAAGCCGCTAGCTAAACTCTTAGCATCGTAGCCTGCCGGCTACTTCCGGCGCGCGCCGGGACATCTCGGTCTGAAGACCCCTGCGTCTGAAAACTAGAGAATGCGCGTCTGGTGAGCGGGGCTTCAGAGCTGGTGGTCTGAAAGCACCATTAGCTTCTGCGTTAGCTTCTATGTTAGCGGCCGCGCTAGCTTCTGAAAACAATGTATTTTTAGTACAGCACCAATAACACATATTTTTCATGTTTTTAACCCCTTGTTTAATTTTAGGCCTTTACCAAAAGTTTAAGACGCAGTTTGATGTAAAAGTGTCTAAAAACAAGAGAGATTCCCCAAAGAGAGATTTTAGTTCCAAGCTTCAAAAGTGATCCACCAAACTGTTAAAGTGGTACTGCAGCCTCTCCCACTCTCCCTGACTCAGGTTGCCAGATATGCAGACGAATCCAGCTGGCATCAGTATTTAAAGAGTTGTTGCAATGGCCTTAGTTTGCAGTCGACCTGTGAAGCTGAGAATGTGACATCACTTTGAGACGACTATTCTGAGACCGGGCAGAATAATGATGATAATGTACATGTATGTGTGGAGTTAAACTAGTGTCAGTCACGGATCATTGTGAGAAAGATCAAAATGTCACAGAATCAGAAAAAGTGGAGTAAGTTTGATGCTGAAGAGAATCTCTCAAAGTCCAATGTCGACTTAATAAATTAATAAATCCAGACTTTAGACGGGATCTAAAGCAGAAATACCCTTTGGCCGCTGCACCATTTTCTTCCCCTTCATCCATTTCTGGGTCAGGGGGTGGCAGTCAGAGCACCAGCCCCTCACTGATCTTCCTGCAGGTGCTGAGTCCACAGGAGCCTTGATCTTCCAGCGGGGGCCTCAGGTAAAGTGGGGTTAAGTGTCTTGCCCAAGGACACAACAACAGCAGACATCAGTGGGAGTCGATGGTCAGGTGGTGGGTTCAAACCTACAACATTCAGGCTCAAAGGCCAATGCTCGACCAACTGAGCTGTCGCCCCGTTATTATTTATTATCTCTTGTGTTGTTTGTTTTTGTGAAAAAGCGATTATTATTGTTCCTTTGATCTGCTAAATATCAGTTTCACATCGTCTGTGGCTCGGCTCCAGGGCCCCCAGGTCATCGACTGCCATTGACGTATTTGGCTGAGACTGGTGATTTCTGTGAACTTCTCTCTATTTGACTGAAGATTACAGCAGAACAAAA